GCTTAAACTTACGGGTAAAACTGAAACATCAGAGAAAAGATGCAAAAAGACCGCATTTTGGACTGCCAAAGATACAACCTATCAAGAATATCGAACAACTAAGCAAAAATATTTAGCAACCAACAGGGAAACCAAGCAGTCAAACCAGACCATATGGTTTTCCCTTTCCCTTAATTTTTATTTATTTATTTTTTTTAGGAAAGAAAAAAAAAAGTAGCAACCAACAGGGAAACCAAGCAGTCAAACCAGAGCATATGGTTTTCCCTTTCCCCTAATTTTTATTTTTTTTTTTTTTTAGGAAAGAAAAAAAAAGTTTGTAGCACTGTCGAATAGGATAGGGGAGAAGGCAGCCTAACAAATGACCGAGCAAAAGTATCGAGCAAACAAACAGGAAAAACCGGAAAACCAGCAAGAATATCGAGTGATTAACGGAGGGGAAGAGGTTACATCTTTAAGCCAAGCCCAAAGGGAATGCAAGAACAAGCCCAGAACACTTCCAGCAACACTTCCGCCCTCACACCAAAATTTCGGCCAACCTTAAAACCCTTCGCCAAGTGGGGTATTTATAGTAGAAGAGGGAGGAGGAAGAATACCTTCACCTACCTGGCCGGTGAGTTGAGCGCAACAAGGACGGGGCGAGTGGCGGCAGGTAGAAAGCTGGAGCGCGGCAGGGAGTAAGTAGAAGCCTTACCAAAGCATAAGGGATGGGGCCTCGGACCGATCTTTCGTTTAGGGAGGAAGAGAGGGGAGCTCGGCGAGGAGAAGGGAGGCTCGGTTGGGTCAGGGGCGGACGGGTGCGGGCCGGCCGAATTAAAGATTCGTGTGTGAGTTTATGAATTTGGAGATTTAAGTGAAAAAAAAAAATCGAGATTTAAGTGATTTTTTTTTCTTTTTTTTACTAATTAATATTGAAATCTCCCGATTTGCGTACTATTTAATCCCGTTCGGAATAATATCAAAATTGGTGTCCTTCCTGGCTAAAGTTTACGTTCCAGACGCGTTGGCGCAATCTGTTTCGTCATCCGAAGTCATTCGGACAACCTCGTCGGCGATCGGGCCAAAAATGTGTGGAATTCGATTCTCGTTAAAATAATAATCCGCGATTGATTGTTTCAAAAATTTTATTTAAGTTTTTGACAAATAATGGTGCAGACAATGTGAATTGTGGTAAATAAATCGCAAAAAATTGTGCACGCAAAGATGCAAATTGTGCATAAGGCAATCTTAGGGCTTAATTATCATATAGGGACTCCTTTTAGGTTTCTCATAAGGCAATCTTAGGGCTTAATTATCATATAGGGCTCCTTTTAGGTTTCTTCATGTTGGTTTCAACCTCTTAAGTGCTAGAGGTCAATACCACATGCAAAACTCCAACAGGGTAAAGAAGTAATTTGGATTTCTAAAATGAGGTGGGTCCCATTTTTAAGGCTCTAAGATAGTCAAAGGGAGAATCCTAAGACTAGACTCTAAACTCTAAGAAGAAAACTAGACCTCACTAAAAATGAGGTCAACACCTACACAATGTACTAGCACAAATTTTAGTACAACAACAACAACAAAGCCAATCCCACTACGTGGGGTTGGCTACATGAATTCTTTTTCTCCATTGCGTCGTATTTAGTGTCATATTTTCATTTAGTTCTAATAAATTAAGATCATTTTTTATACAATAAACCCAAGTCTTCCTAGGTCTAGCTCTGCCTTTCTTAATATAAGTCGAATATAAAACATCTACTCTCCTAATCGGATCAACAGATGGTTGACGTTTAATGTGAACAAACCATCTAAGACGACTTACTCTAATTTTGTTAGTCACTGGAGCTACACCAACTCTGTCTCAAATATATTCATTTCTCATTTTGTCTCTACATGTAAAGCCACTCATCCACCTAATCATTCTCATCTCGGCAACACTTAACTCAGTCTTATGCTGGTGTTATGATGGTGCATTCAATGCTTAAAAATTATTGAGATATGTGCACATTATAAAATTATTGCCCACATGTGTTATGATGGTGCATTCAATGCTTAAAAATCCAATTTAAAAATGTTGCGCAAGGCTGGGTCAATAAATTATTTTAAAAGATCTTGCTCCAATAAAATATATGCACTGATGAATCTAAATAGCTCGCAGGTGCTCCGACCACCAATGCCTACTATTGAATACTTGTTCTATGAATGATTCGCAAGTGGGATATAAATTTAAACTAAAATTAATTTTATCTCAAGAAGCGTACAAGTGTCCCAATGTTATCAAATATATATATCATAATCATCAAATAATTCACGCCCTCAAATGAGTCATCTTGTCTAAAAAGCAAGATCGTATGTTTCATTTCAGTTAGTTCAATTATCCTCCATGTAAGGACAGAAGTTAACAAGAATAAGCCCCGCTGAACTAGTCTGGTCTTCCTCAGAAACATTGGAGCTGTCAGGACTGATCATAGATGTAGCCCGTATATTACCCAATCATTTCTTTTCCTTAGAGACGTGTATTATAGTGTATTTGATATATCACAAAATCCTCTGTTAATTAAAATCAATTTCAATTTATCCCCTTAGACAACCAATCATCTCAAGTATAGTAGATCACATTGAATGAAGCAACCCATGACTGTTGATAAGGATTATTCAATCATGTTGGGTCGACTATCTCTGTTGACTAAATAAATAAGAGTGCATGACAACCTGAGATGATAAAGTTATGAAATCTTAATCGATTTTATCATCATTCCCACTACCATTCGCCTTAAACTTAGGGTAATAAATTTTTCTAAACTAATATTAAATTGTTGTTATATGTTGAACGATCATCACACAAATGAGTAGCCTTAATCGAAAGTGTTCCCCCATTATCGAGAGAGATTATTATCATAAATACTTGCGCTCATGGGAAATCTCGTACTTGGATCTTAACATCCTCATAAAATGAGGGTGAAATATCTTAGTTGTGATTTATATGTCGCCTGATATATTTTCTAAAAAATTTGACCTAGAACTTAACAAAGAAAAAACCTTTCTCATTCAAGGGGACAAGTGTGTGAATTTTTGGTGTGCACAGAATTATGTTGAGCATACAATGAGGTTTGCCTTTTATATCAAAAATTAAAGACAACGTCAATTTAAGGTTTGTAGGGTTATACTAGGAAGAATTCACATGACATGTGCATCCATGTTGATAAGCATCAAGCAAGTAAATATTAACTATTTTGTTGATAGAACTTATGCAATTCTAGGTATCCTAGAAGGTATTTGAGAAGCGGGTTTGTAGGGAGGTAGTTGTGCAATAGCTAGGGAATAAAAATATATGATGTCGACGACATTTGGAAGGCAATAAGCGTCGTACGGTTGTCCTTACTAAAAATACTAGATCGGATGGCAAAAACGGCGAGGAACAAGTGGCAAGGAGGTGAACCACATGTTCCTAAAAAAGATATAGGCATCACTTACAAAAGAAAAAGATGCATCACCTCTTAGTTCATATATCAGAGAATATAATCTCTTTACTTCTCAAAATAGCAAAATACGAGTTCCCCACAAGAAAATAACTTTATTAGAAATAAAGATATAAAAAAAAAAAAATAAGAAGAAAATCACTTTGGATATAGAAAACCGAAACAAGAAGCCCAGGTTCAAGCAAAGCTAGAAGGAATCCCGTCCTAGTTCTCGCACACGCGAGAAATCCCCATGAATTGACCACGACATGATCCCGTCTCAGGCCCCGCAAACGCGATAAATTACTACATATCAATCACAATCTGATCCCGCGATAGCAAGAATTGTCGAATCATGCATCTTATTCGCTAGGGTGTGCTCACGAGTCCCACTCCAAGAACTAAGAAAAAAAAATGCATAAGGATATTATTGAAACCTGCGAGCAAAATAAACACTAAGTGTTGTAGAGAAAACATAACATTGAAAAAAAAATTAAGAATAAAGAAACATTCGATAAACGAAGGATAAATAGAAAATCAACATGAATACTTCAAACTTGTGTAACATTAGAAATATATGACTGATTCAAGACAAAAATCCAAATCTATTCACACAAAACTTGGAATTAGTAAAATATAAGTTGACGAGGCTTTAAAGAAAATGAAGCGTGAAAAAATAAAACCCGATGGTATTCCAGTTAAAAGTGTGAAAATGTTTAGATCTGGGAATTTTTTGACTTACTAAACTTTTTAATGTTATTTTAACAACTAAACAAAAAATGTCTAATGAATGGAAAAAGAGACGATCGGTTTCTATTTTTATGAATAACGGGGATGCACAATAGTGCAAATTAGAGGAATTAAGTAATATGGCATACAATAAAATTATGTGAATAATTGAACAAATGAATAAGTTATGACATGAAACAAAAATTTCTTAAAATCAGTTTGGATTGATGTTGGGCAAGTCTGATATGGAAGCTATACATTTATTGCTTGGGAATTAGGTTCTCACAAAAGTTAGATACCCTTGCCAGAATAAATAAGTAATTGTAACTTGAAAAGGGGGACATACTGCATATTATCAACGTGATTTACATGTAAAAAGAATATAAAACCAAGTAACAATCCACAGACATTCATGACCAGTAGTTTTGACTTGGCAGAATCAGCTTTAGTCATTAGGAATAAGGGAACAAATGAACCCCTTTAAAATGAGGTTTGCATTCCGTATTGTCAAATGTAGTTTGCATGATAAAAGCAAGCCCCACCTCCCAATAAAAATTAAAAAAAAAAAAAAGAAGTTTGCAGTAGTCTAGGTGGATAGCAATTTGGTCCATTAACAATTTTTTATTAAATTATGCTAATTTAATAGACTAAATCATCCTCTAAGTAACCAAGAAAAGTTAACTACAATAACAATAACTACTAGTAATTATTTAATTGAGAATAATATGATGAAAATAGATTGCTTTCAACCAAAAGAAATGGAAAAAACCTAGTGGAAAAGTAGGACAACTTTAGTCCTTAACAAAGCATGAAGTAAGCCTATAATATCCTATATACCTGCAACTCTGGAGCTTTATGAGGCTGTCCATACCATTCTTCGTATTCACCAATGTTTCGTAACCGAAAATCCTAAATATACAATACAATTATAACTTAATTCAGCAGATCAGCAAAGAAAATCAGTGACACCCGCATGCTCAAGAGAAAGGTAATATGTGCCCGAATCATACCGCAGACAGATCAACAATCTTTAGTGTTTTAGGTAAGCCTTTTATAATCTCCTATAAAAACAACCATCTGAAGTTAGGTACACAAAAGATGCCATTAAGTCATCTACTCTAACAAGATGATATAGCAGCAAGCCAAATCAAAGAAGCATTAAGAATGAAAAATAAAAGACCTGCGTTGTTCCATGCGGCAAGCAACAAAATACTGCATCGACATTAGAAAAATCTGCATCTTTTACGGCAACCATATCAGGTAAATCCTGTAAAAATTAGACCGATTATGATTGCTAGAGTAGGAATCAACTCAATAAAAAATTACTGGAAGTTTAGAAAAATAAAACCTTTAAAACACTAACTTAATACTCATAAGCATTTGTTTAAGAACAGATATATCTTGATACAAATAAACTGTCACGTAAGTCTAGCTTCAATTACAAGATTCTGGGTTACCAAAAATAAGATACAGTAGGCTTAATGGAGGATAAGCAGCAAGCCATTCAATGTAAATAACACTTCACAAGTTTATAAGACAATCAACATTGTAAAATAACATTATGTTTTAAAAGAAGAATTGATACAATAATCTTAAAAGCGAGTAAGAGTAACTACTATCCCGTGATTATCCATAAAGAAATGCAGAGAGAGAATGAATAAGCAGAGTCTTACAAAGTTTTCTACTGTATAAGTTGCCAACGGAAGCTAGAACATAGTAAACTATCAACATACAATATGCATTTTTGGAGTGAATTTCCTCCATACAGTTTACAAATTAAAAATCCAACTCCAATACTTACATAAATTAGAAAAATAAATCAAAGGTATTTTTAGAGTAAACTATGCTCGGATCCCTAAGGTATAGATTACCCTTCCATGTTGGTCAATATTTTTAAAGCAATTTACTTAGTTCCCTCAAACAACTTTCCACTTAGATGTTAAGTCCTTAACATAATTTCTCAGTATATTTTAAAATTAAATACAATCATGTGACCATATATGTGATGGTTGGAAAAATCTTGACGAGATAATGACCAATATATGCTATTCCCTCATACCTTCCTTGCCCTATGATTCATCGTTCACATCATCTCCCGTCTCTATTGTAGCGACCAGTCAAACATTGAGTCTCAGTACCATTATGCCAGTGGTGCTCAGCTTCGCCTTGCCAAGCTTTTGCCCATTCTCTTCCTCCACCTCCACCACCCTTTCCCTTGCCTACTTTGTCATTGTAGCTGTCGACCTCAACATTGTCATCAATCCTCACAGCACCTCCTCTCTCACTCTCCTAGCTCCCATCCTTAACCTCAAATGACCACTAAATCCTTGTTGTTGCCAAATCTCCCTCACCAAAATGTCCCTTTCTACCCATAAGTATACGAAAGAGTTCCTCAAGAGCCCAAATGTTCATCTTACCCTTACCGATGGTGGCCAGCAATTAAGTTTTTGATGTCTCAAAACCACTATCAATGACTTAAAGAAGCCACCTGGTATTGTTCAGGCAACAGAAAGGTAAAAAACCAATCAAAGAATAAAGTAGCATAAGGTCCTGAGGTTTTAGCATAAATTCATTAGTACTTGAGGAACTCCAAAAGAAATTAACATAGCAATTATCATAGTGGCCAATATGTAGGCAAAAAGTTATTTGAGGGACCAAACTGAAGTGTTTTTCAAAATGCTGATCAATGCGAAGTGAGATATATGCCTCAAAATCTTCGTATATTTTATCATCATTATTTTTTCATTTCTCAATTTGGAAGTTAGCACTTGGGGTATTTTGGTTCGGAGTCATTTAGACGTCAAAATTATCTATCAAGTGGTTCTATAAGTTTTAATTTTTTCTTTTTTTGAAAATTTTCCTTTTTTCATAATAAATGAAACATATTTAGTTGGATGTCTTTTGGGTCATTGTATTGTTCTCCTATTATAAATATGGACAAAATTATTCAAATATAAGTTTTATCTATCAAATTGTATTGTTTAGCTTTATTAGCATTAGCTTTTGTTTGAAAATATTCCTTCACAATAAATGGAATGTGTTTAGTTGGTTGTCCTTTCGGACATTCTCTTGCTCCTCACTTCACTCTTGATCCCTCGCGTGAAATAGCCTACTTTCTAGCACACTTCGCTTCCATTCTTCCGTGCTCGTCTATGTTTGTTGGACTATATATTCTTGCTCCCTTAAACCACTACTCCATAGCCTAATCATCCCTCTATTGTAATTTTGTCCTGTTATACCCACTATTCAAAAATCATAATACTTCATACTAAAACACTCATAAGCCCCAATTTTGCTCATCCTATCTTGCTCAACCATTACCCTAAGGCACAATGGCTTCCTTATTCAATCATTTATGACTTAAAACTATCGGATATTCCAACCTCTCTCACACAATTTCATGATCTCTCTACCTTCTCACCATGACTCAAAATAGTTAACAATTGTACCACAATCAAATTGAATGGTACAAACTATTTCCTATGATCAAGCTTATTTTACTTTCTTGTCGGTTCATACAACAAGTTATTTATCTTGATGCATCTCCTCTGATTCGTTGTGACAACATCAAATTTTAGTATAGCAAGCACCTGACTATGTTGTTCTCACCAAGATGCTCAATAGCATCCAATCTTTCATTAATGCTACTGTCATTTTGAAGATAAAATCAAAATAATTTAGAACTTTTTTTACTCTATCAACAACAACAACAACAAGTCTTTATCCCACTAAGTGGGGTCGGCTATATGAATCTTTTTTTCCCAATTGTGTTCTATTGAGTGTCATATTTTCATTTAATTCTAATAGATTAAAATTATTCATTAAACAGTATGCTCAACTCTTTTTAGGTTTGTCTATGCATTTCTTAACATAAGTCAAATCAAAACATCTACTCTTCTAACCAAATCATCAGACGATCGACGTTTAATGTGATCAAACAATCTATGACGACTCTCTCTAATCTTGTCTGCCATTGGAGCTACATCAACTCTATCACGGATATATTCATTTCGCATTTTGTCTAAGTGTCAAGTCACTCATCCGCGTTCTCATCTCAGCAACACTTAAGTTATTTTTATGATTCACTTTTAAAGGTCAATATTCTGTGCCATAGAGCATTGCAAGTCTCACCACCATCCTATAAAATTTTCTTTTCAGTCTAAGCGATACTTTTTCTATCACACAATAGGTCTGATGCATTCCTCTAATTCAACCAATCAACTTGGATTTTACAAATAGCATCCCCATATATGTAACCATCACTTTGAATAATAGACCCAAGATATCTAAAACATTCACACCATCTAATGATATGATCACCCATAACTACAACTCTGCCGCTAGAACTGCTATACTAAAATTACATTCTATGTAATCAGTTTTAGATCTACTCAAACAAAAGCTTTTAGACTCTAATGTAGACCTCCATAATTCAAGTTGTTCCTGAACTCTTTCTTTAGTCTTATCCACAAGAAGAATATCATCAGCAAAAAGAAAACATCAATGTAAATGTCCAGTAAGAGAATCCATAACTAAAGTAAAAAAATATGGGCTTAAAGTTGATCCCTGATGTAATCTAACCGAAATAGAAAAATACTTGGCCAATCCTCCTCTATTCAAACACAAGTAATAGCTCTAGTATACATATCTTTAATGACTTAAATATAAGTCATATCAACACATTTCTTGTCCCGAATTTTCCAAAGGACTTCTCTTGGACCTTATCACAAGCTTTTTTCTAAATCAATAAAAATCATATGTAGATCCTCCTTATTCTCCCTGTATTTTTCCATCAAACCTCTCAATACATGTATAGCTTCCATGGTAGACCTGCCCGGCATAAATCCAAACTAATTATGAGAAATCTTTGTATCGCACATCTTAGCCTATGTTTAATTACTCTCCCTCATAATAATTTTGGCTACATCTACTTTAGAAAAAGTAACACCTCCAAGGTACATAGTCTTTACTTTCAACCAATTTTCTCTGCAAGAAAATGATCTACTCATCCAAAAACGCTACAATACCTTGTGGGATTAGTAAAAGTCACTTCAAGACAAACACTTTATTGTTGATCCAATGATCCTATAGAAACAAAAAGAATTCGTTGTTTTCTATTTATCTATGGGCTTTATTTGTCCCTTCAATATATATTATCCCAAGTGATGTCAAATTCTAGAATCCCCAACGCTTGCTGCTCTCCTAAGGGTTCTTCAGGTTGTTGGGCTGCCATCTCCCTATCTACCAGTTCCTGATTGGTTTGTTTTGGAATGGGGTGTCATGGTGGCCAAAGTGATCAGGCTGTGGTGGTCAATCTGATAGTGGCCATGGTCATGGAGGTAAAATGTTTAACTTTACCCTCAATATGAACATACTAATCACTTTTCAAATTGTTAGCCAGATTCAAGTATGCCTTCAATATCCATCATGCTTCAGGACCCTCGTTGATTGTTAGTGATGTTTCCATCCCTTTTACCTCATTGTATTCATTCATTTTTTCCTAGAAGAATTATAATAATTATGATCGCCTAGTTATGGGCACTCAAGAAGTTGTCAAGCTCCTATGTTATTTTATTTCTAAGTTTGTAGGTGTTTCTTTTGTTGTCTCTCTTCTCCTCCGCAACTATTGGTATCAATTGCATTGTCATGTGAGCCATCTTCCACCCCAAAAATTTGAGATTCCAGTGAGTTTGATAAAAATCATCAGGTGACTTTTCCTTCCTTTATGTAAGTCCTCTCATTTGAGTAGTATTATTCTGATATTTAGGGTCCTAGTCATGTTCTTACTCAATGCAGTTTATGACTATTACAATTTTTTATTATCTTTCATGAATCATATGGCTGTATTTCCTAACGTACAAGTCTAAAGTCATAATTACTTGGCGCATTTAGTCAAATTTAAATGTCATAACCATTCTTTCTAGTGCTTTATTAGGCGGCAAAATCATCCAATTAGAGAACATGTCATATCCTTATTTGCATGAAATCTTTGAGATTGAGCATAAAAATATATTTGATATGATATTTGGCACTTCGTGAATTAGGATACTCATAAATTTATTATTCTCATCAAATGAGTATAGAAAATGGACGGATTGTTGCTTTAAGCTAGGGGTGATATATTTCACTTTAACATTTTTAGACTGCGCAATTTCATTAAAATTCAAATTTTATCCAAATTTCAGCTCAAAATGACATAAAACATGATTTTGACGTATGTTGAGGTTGACAACCTCTCTAGTCGAAATTCTCTACCATTATAGTCAT